AACCGTGGCCCGCCGCTAACTCGCGCGCGGTATGAGCTCGAATCCAAGTCATGTAGCCACGCCGACTGTCATCGATAAGCCACGATCGATAAACGAGACAAATTCACGGTTATCTCTGCAGAGTTACGCCCACGTGAATTTCAACTGGAGAGACAAAGATCGAAACCGAAGAAATACGGACGAGCTCGCGTGTCTCGTGGTACTTGTAAATTCAACGACTCCGACAGGCAAATCTTCCTGTGCCGTTCTCGAAGGAGCAGTCGGATTTTATAATTAATGAAATTGAAGTCGTATAAGACGACGAATTAAAACTAAAAGACAGATGCATTTACCATATTTTTCATTCGTGACTTTCGTGTAAGAAAAACAGCCGCGGTGTTGATTATGACCAATAATATCCTTCTTTCTAACTCCGTACAGTATACGTTCCTAAAATCTGTTTGCCATATAAACAACACTCATATTATACGGTCAATTTTCAACTACCTTTTCACAAACCCGAAGCAACTTGATCGCCTATCGATCGCTGCATTCCCACAAAACGCCGAATTTCATCAGCTGTACGCGGTGGAATACGCGACGCACGATCGTAGAACTTGGTATCTATCCCACGACAACGGAATGGCCCGTCGTAAATCACGAAGCGACTGCGAAACTGGGCGCCGTAAATCATGAACCAGGTGAAAAAGGCCGCGCACGTTTACCCGTATCCGTGGAAATTACGTTTTAATCATCGGTACAAGTGCATTAAGAGCGACGGTATAAATTACCGAGAGAGGCCGACGTTGCCCGTGGCCGCCTCTCTGTGTGTTGCAATTTGCTTTAGCGGCGTGCTCGAGCGCGCTCACACACGCGGCAACCGTTTGTGGTTTGTATTCAAATGGGAGCTGCACGCTCCTTTTCCGTGCCTTCCACGCCGGTGGTACCGTTAGATTCGATACAACCACCGTCTCGAATCGATGCTATCGGCCCCGGTATCGGGAGAAATCTCACGTTATGAGTGATTCCTATGTTTGTCCAACGACGATCGCACGAACGCGCGAACGCAAGTAAACAAAGAGTACAATCGAATATCACGGTATAATCGAGTAGTCTACTCACCCCGAGCAGAGACAGTGCGTTCGGTGTTTCACCGTCCACCTCCTGGTCGCGCGTTTCTTCCTCCTTTCCCTCCTCAACGTCGACCAGTGACGGGCTGTCCGGTCCACTAGCCGCCACTTCCGCTATCAGAGTGTCGTTCGAGTCGCACTTGTTCAAATTCGTATCTTCCGTGGTCAGAGTTTCCAGAGACACTGCATCGTTTCTCTGGGGCTTATCGGATACGCAAGATTCTTCTACCGTACACTCTCGATCGTTTATGCAATCTCTAGCATCCTCGTACACGGATGTCCGGCTTCTTCTCAAGTCACTCGTTTCGTTAGATTCATCCTCGATTAGTCTTGTCAGAGCTTCGTCGTCAGGGTCCTCGCGATCGTCCTCTTTCGTGGGATTTATCAGAGGATCAGTTGTTGGTAATGTATCAATTGGTAATGGAGTGTCTTCCAAGGTCTCGTCTGGTATCAGATTCGAAGCTTCTTGCGCTTCCACGATCCTATCGTCCAGATATTCTGACTGTTTCTGTAAGAGAACGTCGAGATCCTCTTGGTGAGACTCGTCCAGGTACCACGAGGTACAGTGTTCGTGACGCTTCTTGTCCGAGGAAGCTTCGTCGCCTTTGGAAAGAGCGCCCTTACACTTCCTCAGGTAACTTTTCACTTTTTTCGTTTTGCTCTTCCTGGTTTCTTGGCTACGTGGTAAGGTCCCACCTTCTGGGTGCTCGCCGGTTTCACCCGTATCTCCGACAATCCGAGATTGCGTGGGATCCACATCGTGGACTGGTTTGGATTTGACATCGGAGATGTCGTCGAAGAAGGAACATGGGTCGTGTTGGTCCGGGGCCAACGTCCAGGTCTCTTCTCGCTCTGGCATACGACGCTCCGCCGGTATTACCTGTGACAGAAAGATTTTGATGCTGAAAATGTTTGTCAGTGTACGTTGGCGTAACATTACGCCTTTCGTGGCCAAATATTTGTTAACGAGAGCTTTCCGGAAGATTTCCAGATCGCGATTCTTTTTGATAAAGGTTAAAGTAAAATTGAGGATGTGAGTTATTTGGAACGTTACTCTTAAGAGGAAGATAAAGTGGCGATAATGTGATCGAGAAAAAAATCGTCTTTGAAATATGAACTAAGAAGTTGATAAATCGATCTTTTCATTCCCTGCAATTTAGAGAAGCGGGTTCCTACTTATCAGAATTGATAAATCGGAGGCAACAGCTATTTGGGATATTGGATACAGGGGAAAGTCTGTTTAGATTAGAGAGGTGGTCTAGAAAAATATGATTTATTATCTTAATCCACTGACATAAGCTGATTACTCCAAGTTTTCCTCCCTAAAGATCTTGGAAATAAGATTCAACCGTGTATCTTTCAATTTTGTTGTTTCATCATCTATGATTTCTTATGCTATCCCAAGAACGAGGGGTGGCTATTTCAACCAACCGACCCAAGTATTTTTCTCAGAAACAAAAATATTGCCTGTAGCGTCCTTTCCCCAAAAATACTCGTACTATAAATTTCTTTCTTTATTACAAGTCACATCACAGTTATTTGACTCCCCACCTCGACTGTCGATCGATACCAAAAACTTTCATCGAGTCCCTTACAAGATTACTACATTCATCCCTTGTATCCATATCTGCAGCTCTAAATCCACCGTAGAACACGAAAGAAAAACGAAAGAGTCGCGTAGCTATTGGGAATCGTAGGCAACGTCACGATCAACGGCAGCGATTTCGCAAGCTGAGCTTGCTTCAGAAGCTGATTAATTCTGCGTTGATCTACTATGGGAAAATCAGGAGCTGAACATTGGATAAAAAGGCGAAACGGATCGAAATCGAACGCAAGCAGCGTGGCGGCGAACGGTCATTCAATTCTATTTCGCAAGAGCGGAGTTCCGCAGTTGGTAGCGGGCGCGGAGGTGCGCCGAGCGTACAACTGTATCAGCGGCTGTCTGCCAACGTTCAGCGCCGCATAAAACAATGGGGCTTATAGTAAATATCGGCGGACGGCGCCGTCGTTGCTAATATTAACCTCGAGCGGTGCATAACGATGATATTTTACGCTACGCTTCAGCACCGCCATAGCTGGACCGTGCCCATAAGATCACGCTGAATACAACTTCCTCGCGTAATATCTCCGATTTCATAATGCACACCGACTTCCTGCTTTCCTGCTTTCTGAAATACAACGTGAATCAGGGGATCCTACGTGAACGTGAGTCACGCTGCGCTGACTTACGAACCCGTGTGCATCCCGGGCCGGACCCTGTTTGCTGGTTCACCGTCCTCTGCACACGCGAGCAACAGATTACGCTTGCTACGAATCGTCCCGTGAAACCTCATCCCTCGCTGTCAGGGATCGCACAAATCTTATCGATGTAACTTGCGACGCGATAAATCCTACGATTTTCGGCGATATATTGATGAAAAAAATTAGCGGACTCTGAGGATTGCAATTTGATGATTTAGGTATGGAAATATGTCTTTGGGAATTTTTTCGAATTTACTAAAAATCTAAAAATTATCTCGTTCGCGATCTGTGTCGCCTTTAAACGTTACATATCACGGGCATTTCACGTGCGCGCATCACGTAAAAGAGAGAAGTAAATTTATACGCATACTCGTAAAACGAATGAAATAAATAAATGAATAAATCAACAGCGGCAAGCGTATTCTTAATTCATAAAGACGCAAACAGACGATAAATCGATGATAGTTTAGAAAATGCGGGACGCATAGATCATCTAACGCATTGGGTCTCGCGCCGCACAAGGAAGCTGAAAAACCGGGGACCGACTATCGTATTTAACGTCATCATCGGTCACCGTCGTGGTGCGAATACATGGTTATCTTTCTCCGTTCATATTTCGTCTGATTTACGCGTCTTCTGCGACTAAATCGATAAGCGGCTCGTCCGCGAGAACATCAATTCTCCTCGGGTCCGCGGCAGCGCGATGGTATTCAATGTAAACGCGGAAACGACCGGCGAATATCTCTTCCTTAATAAGTTTAGCTAACAGAGTTTGCATGTTTTCGCGGTGAGCGAGGCTGGAGTACGGATCGACAGCGGGGCCGGCTGCTTTTATCGTCCAAGGAGTCTGGAAGCAGCGAGATTCAATCTCTGCGATGACGCGATAGCGAGATGAGGCGTGGGAGCGAGTCGAAGCTAATCTTTCGAGGCAAGCAGCTCATTCAAAGCGCGTGTCTCCTCGGCCGGTTCCCTCTTCACCGAACCCATCAAGAGGGAAAGTTCGTTCGAGCGCGGTCTTCTCGTCGACGCGATCGCTTAGCGCGACGCGCGCAAAAATCGCTAAAGAATATTAAACGGTCCTGCCAACTGTTCTTTGTGAGAAGAGAAAGATTAGAGAACGCAGGCGAGTACCCTTTCTCTCGAACCGACCGCTTCAACGAGCTTCCTGATCGAATTGTTTGGTACACCTTTTCATCTCTCATTTTCTCCCCGTGATTTTCTACTCTGTGTTTATCTTATTACTCGAAGCTGCAGGTGGTAGACATTTAGCGTGCTCGATTTCAAAAGAATAAAAGACGCGAGATCTTCCTTCTCCGCCCCATAATACATAATACAGTAAGTAAAACCTAGTCGTAAGATTCTTCCGCCAGAAGAGTTGGTAAAATATGCGTTTAGCGCAGCGTAAGTACGCAGCATTTCCTCTGCGCATGCGCAGCCTCCGTAGCGATCTACCTGCACAGTTCACGGGTCGCTTTCGCCTTTCCCGAAACCGTTTCCTCGCTGTCGAACTGGCAAGTTCGACTAAAAACGTCAGCCTTGACTCGGTGTAGAGTAACGAGCGTAAATTCTTGATCGCTTACGGCATGCCTTCCTTCCGAGAACCGATAATACAAGCCGTGACACGTGAAATCGACGCGATCCATGGCAGTGCTACGCGACTCCGTCGCGACGCTGCTAAATCACCTCTCCGCCGGAACCATGGTCGCAAGACGCGCGTGTACGCGACACAAGTGCAACCAGCACTCCTCTGTACGGAAACCCGTTAAGAAATGGCCGCTTGGCGGTAGTCTCGGTAACGAGAAGTTACCGATCGTCAATGCAACGGGGGTTTATAAATAGGTATACCGGTAACCGTGCTCGTAGCGTTACGCAAACACTCTCGCCAAAAGGGTGTACAGCCGTGGATAATTGCGCAACAATGCTCGACGAGACAATGAAATATCGTGTAATCGTGTACCCAAGAGAAGCTGCCGGTGTTGCGTACACCAGCGTCATCTTTTCACCGTGTCGTGTCGCTTAAGTACGCTGGACGCAACGTGTTTCCTGAACTCACGAACGTACGGTAAATAGGAACGCGTATGTTCCTGTAACCAAGAAGAATGTTTTAAGGGCTAAGATCTTTCGGTATCGCGAAGTAATTGAAATACGAAACTAGGAAGAGATCAAAGATTTTATTGCCATTACTAAAGATGGTAACTTTATATGTGTACGGAAAATATAGAAAGCCCATCACTTGTTCCAAATGGTAAATAATGTTGAACGATTGTCAACATTGTTAAATCTAACAAACTAATCTGACAATTTTCAAAATTTAAATCATGGTATAAACATGATTCGATTCAACGACTTTCCAAATTGTAAGAAGAATTTCTCATGGATTAACACACGACATAACCCGAAATAATGCACTTTATCGCTCGATAAACTTAGGAACATATTCCGCTACGTACATTCAGTTTCCGCGCGAAGGTATAAAATCTTCATAGTCCATAATCCAAGAGCCTCCATAATACTGTATATCGAACGTCTGCCCTTTTAACAAGTCTACTTGTAAACCTTTTTCTCCGTCAACTTACGAGTACGATCCTCGAAACGGTAAGCCGAGTGTGACGAGCTTAACGTCCAACGGATGAGCAACAAAAAGCCAAGCAAACGCCTGTCAACGGAGCGATCTACAGGCGATTTGCACGCGAAATTAATTCCTCGGGGTCGGACGGGTTCTTAGGAGTAGCCAGAGAATTTCCAGATAACACCGCGCAGCCAGTGAAGAAGGGCTCGATTAATCTTGGCTCGCCCACCCCCGCATGCAATGGCGATGCAACTCAAAGTCCGGTTCCTCGCGAGGCGTCCACTCGCTAGGCGACAATGTTAATTGGCCCGAGAGTAATTTATACATCGGTACCCTATCTGTCGCCCAGAGGCCGGCGAAGCGGAATGGATTGCGTTAGGAAACAGAGAGGAGCGTCGCGGACGACTTGTTCGTAAATCACGCGCAGCCTGCGACGTATGAAGAAACCTCCTCCGGGACTCGAGGCGAGCCCACCTCGCGAACCAGCCGAGCCAACACGCGGTTCTGTCGCGTGGGTCTCCGTAATTCACGATCGATCGTATTTAGGTCGTTTCGATCGTCTATCGACCTGTGGTGGATCTGTCTTTCCAACAATGGAACGTTGATTTGTAAAGATACGACTGTTTGTTAGCGAGGAAAATTTTCCTTTGATCTCAACCTGTTAACTGGATTCTCTTACAAACGTAAAATGTAATAAAAGCACATAGATTTTACTTGGATTCGTTTTGTCTTTGCAGACGTAAATATGAAACGAGAACAACGGTTAATTCGAAATATTTAAAAAATTACTCTTTAAACAATGTAGAACGTTGCTGAAACGTAAGCAAATATACGTACACGCGGAAAATGTGGATGGAAAAGGTTGTATAATTTCTTCGTAAAAGAAATGCCGTAGAAGGCGCCTTGTAGCAGAGCACTCCCTTAATTTGGTAGAAGCGGTCATTGGAACTATCCTTTCGTTTCCTCGAATTATCCTTTCCCGACCGTTGCGAATTAGTTCTAGCTCTTTTCTTTCACATTTCGTATGATTTACGTCTTACGCGGGGTATGCGTTTTGCCTCTGAGCGAAA